ACTAACCATAGCAAGGGTTCCTGCACTGGACGATATGTGTACTGGTATAATCAGGCATATTCTTCAGGTACAATCTTTTCTTACTTTGATTGACTTAAAGGTTCTGTAGATGTAATTTTAAGTATCCTCCTTTTCTAAATTAGCATGTCTGATAAGCAACGGAGTCCTTAAATCCTCTGTCTAATCATTGATATCAGCGATATCTATTTATAAATTTGGCTTGTCTGTTTGTTTGTTTGTTTGTATCCAATAATCTCAAAACGGCTGAACCGATCGGGTCCAATTTTTTTGTGGGACAAAATAATATTATTAAAATTTAAATTCTTAAATTAGAAAAATATTTTGATTTTTATCATACAAACACCTTATTATAGTGATTTTTAAAGAATACACTTTAAAAGTGATTGTATTCGGAAATTCAAGTGGCCCATCGTTAAGATTTTTTTCTCTTTAATTTTGTATTTTGTATTTAAAGCAGATTTTTCATTATTATTTCGTTGATTTTTAAAACTTTCACTTTATAATATTTTATAGGAGACTATTCAATAGGAGATAATTCAGTAGGTGAAGGCTCAGGTAAACTATCTAAATAAAACAATTTTAAACTTTAAACATACTAACAACCTACCCTGGTTAGGCGGGTCCAAACTGCATAGTAAATTGTGATTGCTTATTTGTAATATTTCATGCTTTGTAGTTGAAGAAAAATATGAAAGAATGAATGAACATCATACAGAGATATCGTTTTAAAGAAACGTTTAAAGGGACTGTGGGTGGAAATTTAAGTGACCCTCCATTTTATGAGTGCAATGTACGATTTAAAACTCTAATCTTATATTCACTCTTTTTTTGTATTTTGTATTTAACAAAAATGGTTCTCTTTTTTCGTAGATTTAAAAAAAATTTCCATTTAGAAAATTTAATTTAAATCCATAAACCTAAACTTTATGTTTAGGAGATGATTATGCATTAGAAGACGTACTTGCAGTGAGTTCACTTTTTAAAAATAGTTACTTTTTTATACAACAGCTCCTCTTCGTTTACTTGTACATTTTTAATTTGATAAAATCTTGTCAGAAATCCAAAAATAGTTAGAAAATTCGTCTTCATTGTATTGATATCAACGCCAACCCCTGTATCAACAAGTATTTATCTAGTATTCACTACATTTTATCAACTATTATTTACTACATTATATCAACTAGTATTCACTACATTATATCAACTAGTATTCACTACATTACATCAACTAGTATTCACTAAATTATATCAACTAGTATTGACTACATTATATCAACCAGTATTCACTACATTATATCAACTAGTATTCACTTTATTATATCAACTAGTATTCACTACATTATAACAACTAGTATTCACTACACTATATCAACTAGAATTCACTACATTACATCAACTAGTATTCACTACATTATATTAACTAGTACTTACTACATTATATCAACTAGTATTCACTACATTATATCAACTAGTATTCACTACATTATATCAACTAGTATTCACTAAATTATATCAACTAGTATTGACTACATTATATCAACCAGTATTCACTACATTATATCAACTAGTATTCACTACATTATATCAACAAGTATTCACTACATTAAATCAACTAGTACTCATTACATTACATCAACTAGTACTCACTACATTATATCAACTAGTATTCACTACATTATATCAACTAGAACTAGTATTCACTACATTATATCAACTAGTATTCACTACATTATATCAACTAGTACTCACTACATTATATCAACTAGTATTCACTACATTATATCAACTAGTATTCCCTATTTAGACCATTATTAATTTTTTAGTTACTCACAAAGCCTGAAACTCTAAGCGCTGCTGGTGATATACTAAGTAGTGTTATCGAATCTGGAAAGGTACTCAATGAAAAAAGTAAATTTAGATTCCCCCCCTCACCCCCCAAAAAATCACGATTTTTAAAAACTACTTTTTTGAAGGCTGGAGATATTGCAAACCTCGCCGTGGAAGCTCTTGGCGCTGTCTTAAAGCCTAAAGGTTCAATTTAGAAATTAAAAGTGTTAAAATCTATCATTTTCTAGTGTAGTCGGCGTAATATATTTCAATACAATGAAGACGACTTTCTATATCTAGTTGGATTTACTACCAAGCTTTCAAACAGTTGAATTGGATACACATAAAATGGAAAAAAAAGAGAAAATCTGCAATTTGAAAAGTTAGAGACCAAAACATAAAATAAAAATGTCGTCTTCATTTCATTGATAAAAACGTCAACTACTGTATCTAAACAACAGAATTGGTTATTATTAGAGATATAAATTTGTCAATGTCATCCATGTCCTATTTTTGTTATCATTGAAAGGGGTTTTTCCCATTAAAACACACTATGCCAAGGAGCAGTGCTTTAAATCACAGTACAGGGAGGAGAGGATTCAGCGTTGACGCAGACTGCCCTCCCCATGTACACCAGAGCCCGAAATTTAAAAGAGTATCGTTCAACAAAACCCTTGAGTATCCTTTTTGGGGTCTTAACATTTTGTAGATTTTGAGATGAGAGAAAATGGAGAATATGAAGAAACAAATATTTCATAACAAGAATATTGATATCCACAAAACTGCCTAATCCCATTCGTAAAACCCGGGTTTTAAAACTGGTTTTCATAATGATACCCTGTCTTAAGTTTTGGGCTCAGACGGGCTTTACTTATCATACAGCTGGATTTTACTGTACAATTCAAGTTAATTAATCAATAGAGATGGAGATTTTGGGATTATTGTAAATGTTGTGGACATTATTGTCTGCATATCAACTTTACTTAGCGGGTCAAATGGATCCAGGGGGAGGAGACGTGGCTAGGTCTGGGGGTCGTTCATTTCTTCATCGTTTCTGAAGCAAGAAATGCATGAGTCACTTTTGTAGAGAAACCACTATAAATGAAAATAATCAGTTTTCAAAATGGGAAACATGGATATTTAATGCAAAACTTGTTTAGACAAAGCTTTGAAGGGCATTGTTGTGAATCAGAATTGAAATTATGTCTGCAGTCAGTTTAAACCTCACAATTAATTCTATTTTAATTAAACTGCTTTGTAGGTTTGTGAACTTTGAAGAAATGAAAAAAAGATATTTATAAAATGATGTTTATAGGAAGATAATATAAGGTTTTAAAAATTCTGCCTCTAAAACCAAGAATCCTAGGTTCTATTTTCAATAAATCTCCAGAAGTAATAAATGAGCCCCCCCCCCTGCATGCCCCCCCTCTTGTGCGCCCGTGTATTTTCTAACCCTCAGTATATTTGTCCCAAAAGCAGCGTGAAAGAAAAAAAATTCATGTACAATAGATATTTGAGTATAAAGAACGAAACAAGGTTGGAACTATTCTTGACAAAGAAGGGAACAGAATGGGGATGGAACCGTTCTCCACTAAGAACACAAAGAACAGAGTGGGATTGACCGTTCTTTGACTAAGAACACCAAGAACGGAACGAAACAGAATGTGTATGGAATAATTGGAAAAAGAACAACAAGAACGATCTAGGGAAAAGGCCCTTGTTCTAGAACAGAACAAAACGATTAAAAAGTCGGACATACCCAGGCCTAGACATAGCTCGTACTTATTCTAAGTTATCATGAACAAAAAAATATTTTCTTTCTTTAAGCCCAATGTGCATTTATACATGAACGTCGCGGCCCTTCGCTTCTTCAACCCGTCACATTCCGACTTGTCAGACGCTGGTACAAGTCAACCCTGAATCCTGTCTACCTGATCCGTGTTTAAAATTTAAAAAAAAACTTTAGACGGAGGAGCTGGAGGTGCTGGTGCTGCCCCTCCGCCAGCTGGAGGAGCTGGAGGTAGAGATGGGCGCTTTCGGCCTTTTACATTTAATTCATTTATTGTTTGTAAGCGACCCATTTCGTTAGTTTTTTTTAGTGTTAAAAAAATGACTTTGTACGCTCTCAAAATTATTGTTTAAATCGTTTGTCTTTGTTTTTTGGTATGTTTTAACAACCATATTTTTTTTTCGTTTCTCTCCACGGTCCAAGTTGTTCATTCATTGTTTTTTTTCTGAATGCCACCATCGTATACGAAAAATTTCGTTCACAAAAATGATGCCCATCTCTAACTGGAGGAGCCGGAGGAGATGATTATGCATTGAACGACTTACTTGAGGTTAGATTTTTTTTATTAAAAAAACACATGCTAGACTTTCAGCTGTTCAGGACGCTTTTCGCTCTTTTTCCTATTTCCAATTTAAGCTTTCAAATGTTGCTTTACACTTAATATTTTTAATTTGTCTGAAATTTTTAAAGTTTTGTCTATTCAAATTGGCGCATTTTCAAGAATAACAAATGTTAACATTTTTCTCAGATCAAAATTTTTCATTTTGATAGTACAAAACCATCCCTGGGGTTAAGTGAGTACTGAGTATTTGAATCCTATTGGTTCGGCCGTTTTGACGTTGATCGGGCACAAACAAACAGACACACATGCAAAGTACACATTTAGATCATATTATTTTTTTTTCAGGTCGCCACCAAACCTGAAACTCTTAAAGGAGCTGCTGATGTTCTTGGTGCAGTGGTTGAATCTGGAAAGGTACCCAATCTATCAATGAAAAAAGTTAATTTTGAAAATATCAAAAGCAAAGATTCTTTTTTTTTCGTCAGGTTCCAGATCTTGTAAATTTTGCCGTAAAGGCTCTTGGAGCTCTGCTGAAGCCTGCTGAAGGTTAAAATTGAAAATCAAAATTAAAAGCAGTGTTAAGGATCCATTTAATTTTGATACGGATCTGGATCCTGGATTCTGGATCCCCACTGGAAAAAATGAATTCGGATCTAAGTCATGAACGTTTTTTTAAAAACTTACTGAATTTTTTTTTTCTCTTTTTTTATTTATGTTTATTCTAAAACTTGAGGAACCATTCAGAAATAAGAAAATTCTTAAAATCTTGTTTTTCAACAGTTCAGATTTGGGTTTCAAGATCAAAATATTTTTAATTGCGGTTTTTGTTTGATATTTTGCCCCTCTGATACGAATCCGCATAATATTACGGAATCGGATCCAGAAAGCCAAAATGTTGCGGAATCGGATCCGGATCCATAAGCACTGATTAAAAGTGTTAAAATCTATTAACTTCAATTATCTAAACAATAAAATTATTTATTAGAATACCGATGTGATCTGTGTCACATATTTGTTATAAGTTGTTTTGTTCTATATCTAAATATTCGAAGCAAAGGGACAGTGCTTTGAACTGCATGTTGGGTTGGGCCGTTTACAACTCGTAGAAATCTAAATGGAAGAAATTTACTGAAAAATCGCCTGATCGTTGCATACATGCATGCATTCTTGATTTGGAATCGTACTGTCAATTCAACTGTTGACAAAGATATTAGTAAAGATGTAAGAAATATCAAAGATTTAAAAAAAACAGGCAAAGATTTTAAAAAAAACAGGCAAAGATTTTTAAAAAAGGCAAAGATTTCTAAAACAGGCAAAGATTTCTAAAAAGGGCAAAGATTTCTAAGACAGGCAAAGATATCTAAAAAGGGCAAAGTTTTCTAAAACAGCCAAAGATTTCTAAAAAACGCAAAGATTTCTAAAAAGAGCAAAGATTTTTAAAAAGGACAACGATTTCTGAACAGGCAAAGGTTTTTAAAACAGACAAAGATTTCTAAAAAGGGCAAAGATTTCTAAAACAGCCAAAAATTTCTAAAGAACGCAAAGATTTCTAAAAAGGGCAAAGATTTCTGAACAGGCAAAGGTTTTTAAAACAGACAAAGATTTCTAAAAGGAGAAATATTTAAAAAAAATAGTTTGTATTATTATAGGGGGAGCTGATAAAAATGTTGAAGAAGCTGACGTAAATCCTCCAATTCCTCCTGTAACAGGTGGAAAGCGCGGGAACTCTGGAAATAGAGGAGGTAAAAATGCTCCTGATACTCCTGATGCTGCTGATGCTGCTGATGCTGCTGATAACCAGGACGGTTCTGGGGAGGGTTCCGGTGCTAATGCATAGAATTCTAAAGAAGACCGGGGCACGAAACTCTCTGAATTTCTCGTGAACCTAATGTAATTTTAATTATATAAATATAAATATATATTAGCTGATTGTTCTGTTTATTCTTGTTTAGTCAATAACTACAGGTCTACAAGTACATATATATATATATATTGTCAGGGGGATAATCACCCCCTGGGGAGAAAGGGGGGGGGGATACCTTCACCCTTAATGGAGGTAGGGGAAGTCCTTCCCATATTGACCTTTTGAGGGGGGGGGGGTTATAACCTTTATATCCTTAATAGAAGGGAAATCATGCTATTTCATAAAAATAGTTTTAAAACATTACTTTTTTATCTTCATTATCTTTTTATCTTTTTTAGAGATGAATGTTTTTAAATACCAGTTTTGTTAATGTTTTTTATATACAAAAAAATGTTGAAAAAAAACTGCAGGAAATCAGACAACTGTATGTACAGAGTTATCCACAAAGGATGAGACTTCAGAGACGACTGTGCAGAATCTACACTGTCTGTTTCGTTATATTCATGATTCTCTGCAACTAAAAGCATCTTCGTTCCTTGACAAATTATATTATAAGATGTTTAAAAACTGCATTTAAGACAGAAGACTTAATTTAACCTTTGGATCGTCATATTTGAAAAGGTTTATGTCGTCTTTACAGTCTCATCCTTTGTGGGTAACCCTGTAGTTGAACTTCCCCTTCAGTTTGACTGAGAGCTCACAAAAGAAGTATTGCAATTAGTATTTTATAATTTATCTATTTTTCATAAATTTTGACCTCAGAATGATATTCCAGGATTTAAAGGCTTAAACTAAATAAATATATCTCCCATGACATTTTTGGGAATAAAATTCATCTGGAAAAATGGAAACTCTATCATAGACAATTTTTTATCCATCATCATATTCTTTCCATAACAGGGGTGTATATTATTCAACCTCCCCCTTGGAGGGAAATAATCCTTATAAAACATTTAAAATGGGACTATAACTCCTCTACAGGCACGTTTTTCTATACTTTTTTCTCAAAATTCATTTATTTTCCCCTAAAATCATTTCTTTCCCCCTTAAATCATTTATTTTCCCCTAAAATCATTTATTTTCCCCTAAAATCATTTATTTTCCCCTTAAATCATCTATTTTCCCCTAAAATCATTTATTTTCCCCTAAAATCATTTATTTTCCCCTAAAATCATTTATTTTCCCCTAAAATCATTTATTTTCCCCTAAAACCATTTATTTTCCCCTATGTACCATTTATTTTCCCCTATATATCATTTATTTCCCCCTAAAACCATTTATTTTCCCTTATATACCATTTATTTTCCCATTTACATAATTTATTTTCCCCTGAAACCATTTATTTTCCCCTATATATCATTTATTTTCCCCTAAAACCATTTATTTTCCCCTATATACCATTTATTTTCCCTTAAAATCATTTATTTTTCTTTATAATCTTTTTTTTCCCCTAAAACCATTTATTTTCCCCTAAAATCATTTATTGTTCGCTAAAATCATTTATTTTCCCCTAAAATCATTTATTGTCCACTAAAATCATTTATTTTCCCTAATTATGGAATAAACCCCTGCAACATTTTTTAACGCTTCGCGCAGACAAGCATATTTTTTTGGGGAAAAAAATCCAAAAAAAGGGGGAAGGGGGGAGGAGACTTTTTTTGAGAAAATATGGAACTTGGAAATTTCTAAACCTGACTAAACTTGTTTAACTTAGTTCTACCGAGCTCCTCAATCCAAAGTTGAGTCTATGGGTTAACAAATTAACAAACAAGGAGTATTATATAACTATTGATACAAACTAATTTAGAATTTTAAAACCAGGAAAAGAACCAAGTTCTCTACTAAGTTCCCCCATCTATATTCGTGGCAAATCGGTCTATGAGTTCATGACATCATGAGTTCATGAGTTCAAGAGTTCATGAGTTCAAGAGTTCATGAGTTCATGAGTTGTGATCAGACAAACAAACAAACAAAGATCGGACAAACAAACAGAGATTGTTATAAATTTGCCTGTAAACTAAGTTTTCTCTATAAATGTCAACCCACTCAATTAAGAGTTGGTAAACCAAACTAAGAACATTACTGTAAATCTACCAAGTTCAAAGTTTGAGGCAAATCGGCAAAAGGGTTCATGAGCTGGGCTCAGACCAACAAAAAAACTTTATATACTTGCTTGGAAACCCAGCTTTTTCTGGAGTTTTCTCTAAAAGTCAAATCACTCAAATTTAAAAACCATCAATTTAGAAGAAGTACCCATAACAAAATTTGAGACAAATCGGTCCAGGATTCATGAGTCATAATCGGACATACTTGAACTTTTACGAACACTCCCTTTAAACTCTTTATTTGACCCTTTAAATAAATCTTCCCGCCCCCTTTATATAAATCCCCGCCTCCCGCTGTTCCATTGCAGTTTATATTAATATCCAGCTGTGGTTTTATATTAATATATCATGCTATATAGTACACAGTTATATAATTAGACAAATAACAATATCAATCTAAATATTTTTATAACTTCCGCCATAAAAAAACTTTATCGCCAAAAATCCCAAGAATTTTTATAAACATCTTAGACTCGAATAAAAAGGTTTCACTGTCAACTCAAGGGCGGTTTTAGGTTTTAAGACAAGAGGGGGGGGGGGGGTAAAAAATATATTGGCGCGAAGAGCAAAAAATTTGTTTTTATTTACCGTCTACAAAAATTACAGTTTATTTACAGTATAGAGTGGGCAAATGTCTTTATAATCCATTTATTTATCTAATAATGATATAAAAAAATATTATTGATTAAATAATATACATTAACGTTATACATATCATACCATATTAGTCTTATGAAGTGAGAAGTATTTTTTATTTCCCGCTATATTGTTCTTGCTAATTTTCTTACAGGAGACTGCAATAGTCAGCTTTTAAAATGATTAACATGGATATATATCTAATTTATGTCTAAGAAAAATCTTAAGACAAATCCTTGTTATTCGGTCATTAGCTTCTCTGTATGGAGGGTTACTTGACATAATGCTTACAGTCCCTTTAAACAAGATTTTCAAGTTATCCTTCAATCAAAAAAGTGTCGTAAACGATTCTCAAAATCAGTAGATTTTTAGAATTTGGATACTTTGCCAGTCTGGAGTTGCCAGGTATATACCTAGTTCCCACCGACAATTTGCCAGGCAGAATTTTACCATGTGACAAAGTTGCCAATGGACGGTTTGCCAGTTAACAATTTGCTATGTAAAAAGTTTGCCATGTGACCATTTTGCCAGGTGATTATTTTGCCAGTTGACAGTTACCCAGTTCACAATTTTGCCAATTGAAAAATTTGCCAGTTCACATATTTGTCAGTACTTCATCACTCTATAAAATATAACCTCGTTGGTTCAAATCAAATACCATTTGGAATGCTTTTAATTTCTGAGTGGCAATAAAGTACAAAATGCCAAATTGTTCACTGTTAAAGTGTGAAGTGTTAAATTGTAAAATAATTCTCAACTGGCAAATTGCCACCTGGCAAATTGTCAACTGGCAAATTGTAAACTGGCAAAATTGTCAACTGGCAAATTATCAAATGGCAAAATCGTTAACTAGCAAATTGTCTACTGGTAAGTTATTAACTGACAAAATCGTTGACTAGCAAATTGTCAACAGGCAAAATCATCAACTGGCAAATTGTCACCTGACAAAGTTTAACTGGCAACTATGTCACGTGGCATGGTGTCAACTGGCAAAGTGTTGTCTGGCAACTTTGTCTCTTGGCAAAGTTATTATATATCAAAGAGCTGCCTGGCAAGTTAATTCATGGTAAGCTTAACTCTAGCGAAGAATCTTACATTGATTTTTATTTGATCATAAAGAACTTTGTTATCTATGAAACCATATATATATTTCGGAATTTAAATTTTAATTTAGTAGTAAAACAAGAAATATGGAAATAAATGACAGATAATGATTTTTTTTTTATGAAAAATCATTTTGAAACCCTTTGTTCTGCTACTAAAATATATCTTAGTACTCTCTTCAGGAATGCGAAATACAGAATTAAACATTTTTAATTTGTTTAAAAAAAGAGTACTTTCGAATAAAAATAAAAAAAATCTTTAAATAACTGTAAGATTATGTTTAATATTTAAATGTACAAATGTTTTTAATATCATGGCTTTAAATTACGATGAAGCTGAATTTGAAATTACAGTGTGGAATTCTCAGAAATACAATGAAATTACATTTAGTGAGTATAATTTAGTTTTTGCATTAATAACAGTCTACAATCCAGCAATGTAGATCAACTCAACAAATCCCAGCTTTTCTTCCCCCCCCCCTTCTCTTCCCTTCCCTTCCCTTCCATCTACCCCTCCTCTCCCTCTTTCCGAGCCGCTAGCTACCCCCTTGCCCCTGTTTGATATTTGTAAACCAGGAAAATTTTCGTTTTATATAAAATATTAAGATAAGATATAGTTTATTGCTAAAAATACACGTACAAGTTATACAGGCCAAAAATCTGGAACTATTTTTATATTGTTTACTTTATGCATGTATTATTGTAATTAGGTGGAGATTAGCTATTTGCTGTTTAGGGTATTATCCCCACCTAATTAATATTAAAACGTTTACAATATGATTAATATTACTAGGTTTTGAAAGTTTACAATAAGTTAGGGATTACTAGTTAAATTTTGAGACACTGAGGTTCAGCATAACAAAATAGTTAATTTTTCAGTTTTAAAGTTTAGTAACAGAATAAGATTAAGCATTTACAAAAATCTACAAGATTTTATATTCATTTTTTGCAAGAATAAAAAATGATTGAGTTTGAATAAAATAAAATATCTTAAAGGAATTTTTATAAATAAATATTTCCAATTTCTACTTCTGGAATCAAGTAATGAACATCTGAAGATCAATGTTTGTAATTTAAAAACTGATGATTTACAATTATGGTTTCTTAACAATAGTGATTTGCGTATTTCAGCTGCAGAATTTAACAGTTTTTAACATAAAACAACGACTTTTTCTTCTAATTAATGATTAAACAAGGACATTTTTAGAGCCTCAATTTTAGATCCTGTTTTTT